AAACAAAACAAAACACCCATAAAACGTTCGCACCCTTCCAAAACACATAATTAGGAATTCAATGTGGTTTATTTTGCTCCCTCACTCCGTTAATGGAATAATTTTATCTGCTTTACCCACACTGTTATAAATTTGAGCCGTGCTTACTGAAATTGCTTTTGCTAAGCAAAGTCTTCGAAGAGAAGTCAGGAAAACCCATGCTGAGTACAAATGAGTTGTCAAGTCTTACATATGTTCGTGGGGGGGGGGGGGCGCTGAAAAGGTCTCCAACCAGGTAACTTAAGGGGGTGTGTGGAATTGAGAGAGAAGAGAGGAAAAGCAAAATGGGGGTCAAGAGGCATTGTATTTGTAAGCTGATGTTGAATTGAAACCCCTTTGGACAATTACTTAAAATAATTTTAAAAATACACTATCATCTGTCTGTCTGTCAGGTATCTCCAGAATACTTTCCTTTAGCAAATATCAATATTCCCTAATGAGAGCAAGCAACAAGAAGAAAATACTGTGTGTGGTGCGAGAACTTTTGGTCGAGAGTTTTAAAACCCTACATTTTCTACAGACTTGGGATTCTTTTTAGGAATCAATTTAAAATGACTCATAATTCAACTGTGAACAATGGAAGGTTTGCATGGACTGTTCCCATTTCCGGTGTGTTATTGCTGTTCTCAGCATTTTTGTGAGGACAAGTTTCTTTTACTTTTCTCTCTTCATAGAACAGCTTAAAATTAGAAAAAAAAATCAAACACCCATTAGAGAAAGTAGATTTACTCTGCAATTAATTGATACAGAGATGTAAGGCCCTCATGACCTGGGTGGGAGCTCAGCATTTCTCCTATAGATATTTGCAAGGGACCAGGGCCTGGGGTACCCCCTTGACCTAAGCACAAGTTTCTGCCCTTGAAGAATTAGGGTTTCAGTTTTCAGCACTAAGGATGTTTCTGGGGGAAAAGGGAGCTGCGTTTGCAGTACATTTGCATACAAGTCTTGAAGTGTACATGCTACTCTATTTATTCCGTTATTATTTATTTATTTTTAAACACCAATCACCTTGAAAGTTTTCTGTTCCGGCTTCTCTCTGCCCTGCTGGACAGGAGGTAAGGTGGCATACTCTATTTAGTAACCAGGAAACGCTTATATGGAAAGCATCTCTATAGCTGCTGGGAATTAAGTAACTGAAAGGGGAAGCCTGCAGGACCACAGTCTCTGTGCAGAGGCCGGAAGCCCCCTGAGTGGGGGGCTGTGAGCCCCCCTCCCCATAGGAGAATCTGATGAAATATGACTCAGTGTATTTTAACTTTAAATAAGCCTTTCTGTCTTCACCCGAGCCCCTTCTAATGTCTCCTGCAGCTTTGATTTTGGAACACGTCACATTCCTCATTAAAGCAATCACTGTTAAAACATAAAGCAACACAGGATTTATTTCTTCATTAAACTGATGATCCGTGTATGAAGCCAATTAACGTTATGAGTCTGGTGAACACCGAGTGTAAAAAGGTTAGAGAAAATTAAAAGCAGTCACCTTGGTCTTTAGATAAAGAAAGTACACTTTTAGGTTGTAAATTATCAGAGTGTCCAAGCGGGACAGATCGGCGAATTTGGTTAATTGCAAAATATATTTTTACTGCACACGAATTAAGGAAAAAGAACCGTTTCGTTTCTAACGCCCTTTGGGGGGAGGGGCGGAGGGCGAACTTAGCAAATATCAATTAGCTCACCTTCTCCAGCCCCCACCCCCCCCACCCCCAGGCATCAGCGACCACCGGGAGCAAAGGAGTTCGCGTCATCAAAGTTTGCTCTTGGTTCGCTGTTTGTTTGGTTGTTTGTGTATTCGCTGTTTGGCCAGCAGGAAGGAGTCCAGACGAGCGGCTCTGGGAGGTAGACGTCGGGAGAGGCGAGGCCGGGGGGTCCCGGGCTGGCTGGGAGCCCTTCGAGAGGTGGGTGCTTTCCTGGCACTGGGCGGGCTTGCCAGCCAGGGAGGAGGCCGGGCCGGCGTCGGGGGACGCGGGGAGGGCCGGGGCCGGGCGGCGCGGAGCCCCGCGGCGCGCGGGAGACTGGGGCTCCGGCCGCCAGGCCTGAACTCGCGTTCGAAACAACTTCAGTGATTTGGATCCGGAGAAGAGTGGGGTCGTCCCCTTCCCCCCACCGCGAATGCCTGGGATCCGGCCGGGAGGGGACCCTCAGACCGGCCCTGGCGCCCGCTTCATTCCCGGCCCCAATCTGGAGCTGGGGTGTGTGTGTGTGGGGGGGGGGGGGGGGGGAGGAGGAGACGCCGGCGCCGCTGTCCAGGGTCCTGATGGGGGACGCGCTACGAGGGCTGACGCAGAGCGGGACAGCCCCGGCGGGTCCCGGGTAGATATCTTGGGGCCCTGGGCTAGAAAAAAAAAGCTCTGTGCATCGATCGATGGCAGTGAGGGGACTCGAGCCCCAGGCTTGGACTCCATTGGTTTCTGGGGCCAACGCCGCGCCCAGTGCCGCGCGCGGCTGGCGCCTGGGGTTCCCGCACACCGAGATGCCCAGTTTGTGCCTGGAGCTTGAGGTGGGAGCCAGCACGCACCGCACCGCACGCACCGCACCGCACCCTGCTCCCGTCCCTGTCCAGACTCCAGGCTCGGGAGCGCACGGGCCGGCCGGCCGGGCGGGGAGCTGTAGCCTGGGGCAGGACGGAATCCGAGGGGACTTAGGGTAGACTCGGGAGCTCAAGGGGACCTCCGGGCTCTGGAACCGAGAGCAAGACGGAGAAAGAAGTGACGGCGCCCGCCCGCCCGCCCGCCCGCCTCTTGGCCGGGGTCCGCCCCCCAGGTTGCAGCCCTCAACTAGAAATAGGGCCCGCTCTCGGGGCTGCCCCGCTGGCCGTGGCCTGCCACCAAATCCGCTTCCCGGATCTGCGGGCGTTCCTCTCCCGCGCTGGCCGCGGGACTCGCGCAGTCAGTGGCCCTGGCGGAGAGCCGATGCCTGGGGTCTCGGCTCAGAATCATCCTGCCGTTTCGGAGCTTGGGGCCTGGGCCGATCCCGCGCCCTTGGGCGGCTGAGCGCAGGAAGGGCCTTTCACGGAAACCAGCCTTAACTTGCCTGGGCCGGAGCGGTGCCTCGTTTTCTTCGGGGAGTTTTTTTCTCCCTCCCCCCACGGAGTGTCCAACTCTCAGCCCTCCAGTTGCTCGCCTGGGGCGGTTGTCCACGCGTGGGCCCTCCAGGCCTTTTGTTTTTCAATGCGTTGTGTCTTTAAGATCGAAGCTAGAAACCGGGCCGGGCAGAGACCCGACCCCACCGCCTCGCCAAGGCTCCCGAACGAACGCAGCATTAGAATGTTTATAAAATATTCAATTTACGCAGTCTGTCCAAGAAGCCATCGTCCCAAAATAAAATCAGCAGTCTAGACGGAACATAGACATCAGAACTTATCAACAGTTGTCTGACTTGCATCTTCTGATGCATCTTGAGTGGGCCATAATACCAACTTTATTTTCAGTGGTGCATAAATTAATTACACGCATTTAATAACCAAAATATCATTATATTCCCCCTTTAATATCATAAAGGCTTTCCGCCAGGGAAGCACTTAATAGTGCAGGGGGCCGTAACGGGCTATTATCCTGGTGTAATGCTATTACAGAACCAATTATGCGCCATTAGACTTGCTTTTTTTGCAGTTTATGTGATTTGATCCAATCCCGCGCCCCTGACTTGAAAATTTCAGCCCGGTACTTTAGAGTTTAATTTTCACCCAGGCAGAGAGAAGGGCGGTCTCTCTCCGCTGAGTGTCTGCCTCGGATGCATTTTAAAAGTAATTGCGAAGGGTCCCACCGCATATCATTTGCATGGAGAAGCGAACATAAATTCAGGGACCCCTTGCTGAGAACAAAATCAAACTTTCCTTTTGTACGATCGCTTGGAAAGGGAAGCCGTGTGCAAAGAGTCCCCCCAAAAACAACCCATCCAGCGGCGACAATTAGCAGCGCTGGCTTTGTCCAATTCGTAGCCCAAGCCCGGGAGTCGCCAGGCCTCTTGACAAGGGCGAACCCAAATTCAATCTCTCCCTAAAAAGAAGGTTTGATTCTTGGAGGGAACACGGGGTGGGGGTGGGGGGCGGGCTGAGGGTTGAGATCATCACCCTCTTTGTGTGTGTGTGTGTGTGTGTGTGTGTGTGTGAGAGAGAGAGAGATCTTGGTGGCGATTGTTTCTATTTTCTTTGAAAAGAAAAGAGGGAAAAAAAACCCATTCCTGATGTTTGCTGAGAAATGACGGTTTTTTTTTTTTAACACCACGTGGGCCATTTGTAAGGCCCAATAGACCTATCCAAGTTACTCGCTGTAGACAGCGCTGGAAATAATCAGATTAAGGCCAATTATGCGTGAGATTATAAAGGCGAGTGCTGAGCGGCGGCGCGCGCTGTAGACAGACAACAAGACAGCTGGCCACTTCCCGAGTCACTTCTCCGGTCCTGCGGGCGCCAGCAGCGCCGAGCCCCGCCCGCCGCCCGCGGGAACTGGAGATCGCCGCGCTCCGGCCTCGTCGCCCGCTGCCTGCGGAGGAGGTACGTGGTATGGGGGGGTCCCCGACCCACTCCCCCGGTGGGCTCCGCGCGCCCCGGCCTAGGGGCTTCCACCGCCTTCCCGGCCAGAGCTGCGGCGAGCGCAGATGGTCTCGCACGCTCTCCCGGACCTGACTGCGGGGGGCCAGGTGCAGGGCTGGCGGCTTGGGGAGCCCCTGAGAGTTGGGGCGCAGAGCGTGCGGGTTTGGGGTTAGGGCACGGCTGTGGGAGAGACGGACCTACGGAAGGGCTGCCCCGGCTCGCGAGTGGAGGTACTAACCGTGGGCTGCTGGATTGGGGCGGGGGTGGGGTGGGGAGTGGAGGCTTTCCTGAAGCCGAGCTCCCCGAGCGCCCCAGGACGGGCCTGGGGCGCAGGAAGGAGACTTGGATTCTAGCACTGTGTTTGCTTTGCAGCCAGACCGGCCCTGCGCGCGCCCGTGTGTCCCGTGGCCACCCACCCTCGGGCCCTGCCGTCCAGCCCGCACCGCCGACCACCGTCGGCGATGTTTTATTTCCACTGCCCGCCACAGCTGGAGGGTGAGTAAGCGTCCGGTCCTCGGCTTCTTGGCGAGGCCGGAGCCGGCCCGAAAGGGCCCGGGCGGCGTCGGGACTGGAGGAGAGTGGGAGTCCCAGGCCCCCGGAGGGAGCAGCCGCTTGGCGAGGAGCGGGGCGCCCGCGTTTCCCTCCCACACCCTGCTCCATCCCTCCGCGCCGCCGCCACCTGCCTCCGCACTCCGCGCCTGGGTCGGGTGGCCCCGGGCGGCGAGGCGGCCGGCGGGGCCGCGGGGCCTCCAGGCACAGATGCTGGTGTCACGCCTCTAATCGGGGCGCCTCCGCCCAGGGGGCCCGCATCAATCTTTCACGGTGTTTGGCGAACATCTCGGAAAGCTAAAGCAAGTTGGCCTGCTGAGTCTTGGGCCCCACCACGAGCCAGGAAGGACCTAAGGCTGGGCTGCCCTAAATCGGGGCTCTGGCCAGGGTACCCCAGGGGGTGCGGTCTCACTCAAAATGCTAGGCAACTCAGGGCCAGTCTCTCTGCTGGCCGAGCTTCCCCAGAGACCTGGGGCCCTGCGTGGCCTCTGCCCACTCGCGGGGTTCTCTTTTTTCTTTTCTTTTCTTTTCCTTCCTTTCTTTCTTTCTTTCTGTCTGTCTGCCTTTCTTTCTTTCTTTCTTTCTTTCTTTCTTTCTTTCTTTCTTTCTTTCTTTCTTTCTTTCTTTCTTTCTTTCTTTCTTTCTTTCTTTCTGTCTGTCTTTCTCTCTTCTTCCTTCTCCCCTCCCTCCCTTCCTTTCTCTTTCTTCCTCTTTCTCTCTTTCTTTCTCTTTCTGTTTTTCTTTCTCTCTTCTTCCATCTCCCCTCCCTCTCCTTCCTTCCTTCCTTCCTTCCTTCCTATGCTAGTCTTGGGGCTTGAACTCAAAGCCTGGATGCCATCCCTGAGTTTTCTTGCTCAAGACTAGTCTCTACCATCTGAGCCACAGTTCTGCTTTTGGCTTTTTGTTGGTTCATTGGAGATAAGAGTCTCACCGACTTTCCTACACAGGCTGGCTTCCAACCTTGATCCTCAGATATCTCAGTCTCCTAAGTAGCTAGGATTCCAGGTGTGAGCCACTTGCCCAGGGTTGACCCATTAGGTTTCTGATCACCCCTTAGTCTTTCTCTTCCTCCTCCCACCCTCCAGGGCCAGAGGCTTGTCTTTGAAGGCCCAAACCACACAAGAAATTTCCCTACAGGGTTCCTGGTGTGATCTCTTTTCTCCCAGATAAGAAAAAACCCTGTACCTCCAGGAGCCCCAGCCCAGGGCCTGAAGTGTCCTAGGGAGTGGGCTGGTTATTAGCCACCTGGGATCTTTACTCTTCTACATAATCCACTGGGCTCGAGCCAGACTCTCCCCAGAAAATCAAGGCTAAGATATTAGGACTTCAGTAACCTTGGGAGCAACCTAGTCCTTTGATTTATTCTTGCTGTAGAATAATGTTGGAGCCAAGAAATCCAGAGAACATGGCACAGGAGAAAAGCCCGTTAGACAGCAGAAGGGACTTTTCTTCTCTCCAGGTTACTTTAAGTAGTACCCTGGCCTCAGAATTTCTGGAAGTTTGCTTCTATTTTCCCTCCAAAAAAGCTTTTAAGAATCCAGCAGGATTTTTCTGAAGGAGGCTACCAAGGAGCAGTGTGATGGGTACCTTCTCTATCCCTCTGGGCCCTAGGGGTCAGGACTGACTGTAAGCCGGCAGCCCTGCTTTCGAGGCAGAGGCTTGGGCATTGAGTCAGTAATGGACAGTGGGTGTCCTGAGGATCTGAGTGGAAAGCTCGAGCTGTAGAAATGGATCAGTCCAGTTCCTGCTCTTCCTGAGTGTTGCTTGCTGCCCTCTGCTCAGCTCCATGGGGCTGTCATTTACTGCTAGCATCCCTCAGCACCTCTCCTCCCCCCCAGGAAGTCTCAGTGATGGGACCAGAGACAAAGGAGACAGAGCTTTAAGAAACTTCCATCTTGCTGTCTGTGAGAGTTTTTCAGGAGTTTGTTAAATTTAGTTTAGGATTGGAGTAGAACCAGACTATTTTTGGACTCTAACCTCTTATTACAAACAATTTGCTCTTTAATTTTAATTCCTTATTAATCCAAAAAGAATACAGGAGAAAAAACAAAGCAGGGCTCATAATTTCACTTCTCAGATAAATAATAAATAAACAAACAAATATTTTGCTGACAATAAATTGAAACTATGACATGGATCTTCCAGAGTTCAAATAGAACAAAAACTTCTACACTGACCAATGAAATCCACCTCTCTATCTTCCCGAAGGGTAACTGTTGCTGCAGGCTCCTTACGAATTCTTCAAGAAAAAGAATGTCTACTCTCTGTGTTTTCTTCTCTAAATGTCATATCTTATGGGCACCGAGATTATACTGTCATATCATTCTGTATTTTGTTTTTACTTCATACTGTATGTTTGAAAATTTCCATGTCAATGCGGAGCTTCTTATTTCTTTTAGACAGCTGTGTAGTAGTCCATTATATGTTATGTAGAAAGTCTGCTGATGGGTACTTTGGCTTTTTCATGTTTTATTGTTCAATTACAATGTTTTCAGGCATATTCTTTTCTCTCTCTTTCTAACTTAGTGCACTTTATAAGAGTATTCATAGATTAAAAGATGTTTATGTGCACTTAAATTTTTGATAATTATTTTAAAATGACATTCTAATAAGTGCACCAATTGATGCTCATATAAATGATGAATGGGCATGCACAATTTATTGCAACCTATTAGCACTGGGCATTTATTTATTTATTTTTGGGTCCAAATGGCAAAGCAATGTTTTATTATTCTGTTGTGTTGTGTTTAAGTAGCTGTGAGGCTGCACATTTTCATATCATCAACCATTCGATTTGTGTTTACATGAGAGAAATGTCTTTATCTCTGCTTCTGTTCTATGAGTTGGTTAGTTTATTTCTTATTTTGAGGAAAGTAATCTTTTTTCTTCTTTTTGAGTCTGTGTGGCACAGAGCATTCCACTGAAAGGTATTGTATTAAACAACTTCACATGGCGCAGTGTGAGGATGTGAGAGGATTGGGAGGACTTAGAGATTGTGTTCTTTCCTTACTAGTCAAATGCTTTGTCTTCAAAGGAGGCAATTTTGCCTTTTGCAAAGTAATAGAAATAAGACTATTTGGAGAGACTGTCCTTTAAAAGTTTCCACTGTGCTGGGCACTGGTGGCTCACACCTGTAGTTCTAGCTACTCAGGAGGCTGAGGATCACGGTTAATTCGAAGTCAGCCAGGAGAGGAAAGTTGATGAGACTTATCTCCGATTAACCACTGAAAAGCTAGAAGTGGAGCTGTGGCTCAAGGGGGGTAGAGTGCTAACCTTGAGCAAAAAAGCTCAGGGAGAGTGCCCAGATCCTGAGTTCCAGCCCCAAGCACGCACATGTACACGCACCTGTGCGCGTGTGCATGTGCGCACACACACACACATACACACACACACACACACACACACACTTTTCCTTTGTGCTAGAGATAAATGTTTGAGACTAGGGTTTTGGAGGTGACTGCATTGGACAAGAAAATGGGGCAGAAATTGGTGGCAGTGGAGGATGGCCCTGGAGTGCTTCCCCAGTGAACATAATTTGAAGAAACCCAAAGGGTTTGGCTTCTGAGGACTGAGATCCTTTTGAGCCACACTGTCGGCATTGTGGCTTAGAGCTGAGACTGCATGCACAGCGATGCTGAGAACAGAGACCATGGCAGGTAAAGTGTTCACTGGTTAATGGCAATTTGCTCATTTGTTTTCCTAAGAAGCCATTGTGGACTATCAAGTAAATAGTGCACATTTGGAAAATGATCCTAATGCACATTTGGGGCCAGACTCTGTTCTGGCTTGATCATGAGCTTTGGAGGCTGCTGGGGAGGACAAAGTCTCTCTTTTCTAGGAAAGTGGGAGCACTGGGTGCTTTCTAAGCCTTGTTCAGAGCCTCGGGTGTCCTTTGAGAGTAGCCTTGTCCAAGTCTGCTTGGCATTCAAGACTGTTGCTATTGGGACAGGCCTTTTGTTAACTGACATCTGTGTAATAGATTCACTATGGTGCTGATGAGCTGTGATCTATGGTAATTAATATTCATTTATAAACTTACATTTATGTGTATGTGTGCACATGTGTACGTGTGTGTGTGTGTGTTGGTTCTGGAGCTTGAAGTCAGGGCCCAGTGCTGTCTTTTAGGGTTTTTGCTTTAGTGCTCTACCACTTGAGCCACAGCTATAATTCTGGCTATTTTTTTTCCTTTGGGTGGTTAACTGGAGATAAGAGTCTCACAGACTTTCCTGCTCAGGCTGGCTTTTATACCTCAGAGCCCAGACTTCTCAGTAGCTAGGATTACAGGCATGAGCCATCAGCATGCAGTTTCATTTAAAACTTCTTACTTCCACGAGTTCTGCAAGTCCAGGAGAAAAGGTGAGATGAAAAACTCTTGATTTTTTTCTTCTCCCTTTCTCCCTTTTTCTTTTCCCTCTCTTCTGCCTTCTTTACCCCCCAATCTTTTTAAACTCTGATAACTGTAGAAATAAACTAAGGGATGAGCAGATAGGAGATACGTAGCCCTCTATTGAGGAAGCCAAAGTATCTGAAGAAATGAAGGGGAAAGGATCAGAAGTGCAACAAGGAGTCAGGCAGCAGATGACTTCCAGCTACTGACACACGGTCCAGAACTCTTTGGAGAGTGGCCTGACTCTCTTGGGGATTGTTTACTATCACTCTATTCAATACAGACACCTGAGGTATTTTGTAGAGAGAGAGAGAAAGAAAGAAGGAGAAAGAGAGAAAGAAAGATAGAGAAAGAAGTGGATGCAGATGTAGGTGCTGGTGGCCCACATTGTAATCTTAGCCTCTTAGGAGACTGAAATCTGAGGATTGTGGTTCAAAGCCAGCCTGGACAGATGAATCCAAGACTCTTATCTCCAGTTAACCACCAGAAGTGGAGTGGTGACTCAAGTGATAGAGTACCAGTCTTGAGTAAAAAAGTCAAGTGAGAGCCCAAGGCCCTGAGTTCAAGATCCAGTACTAACATAAGATGAGGGGGAGGTGGGCAGGGAGAAGTGCCTTGGGACAGACAAGCTCCATGTCTCCAGGGAACGTGAATGGGTGTTCAAGGAGGAGGTGAGCCTGAGAATCAGGGTCCCTTATGCTCAGGCTGATTCAGTTTGCTTCCAGTAGGTACTGCACCCTTTGGCAACCACTCTTCGGGGGATTTTGACGATGGCTTCCTGCGTAGAAAGCAGCGCCGGAACCGGACCACGTTCACTCTTCAACAGGTGAGCATCAGTCTTTTCCCCAGAATGAGCTGAGCTGCTTCTCACCTCCTCCAGAGGCAGAGCTGAGTAACCTTCCCTAATCTTTTCAAAAAAGGTCAATTTAAGCTGGGGGCCAGCGGCTCATGCCTGTAATCCTAACTAATCAGGAGACTGAGATCTGAGGATCTTGGGTCAAAGCCAGCCTGGGCAGGAAAATCCATGAGACTCTTTTCTCCAATTAACAACCAAAAAGCCTGAAGTGGAGATGTGGCTCAAGTGGTTGAGCCCTAGACTTCAGTGAAAAAGCTCAGGGACAGTGTCTAGGCCCTGAGTTCAAGCCCCAGGCCCGGCACACACAAAAATTAAAACAAAATAAGGTCAAGTGATTGCGGACCATTCCTTTTTCATGAACAATTTATTTGTCAAGGAATCGGTCTGGGGTGGGGAAGGAAGCAGATTTTAATCCTATAATCACAGGTTGTGAACTAGAGAAGCAACAATTTCTCTCCCAGTTGCCTTAGGCTAATGGTTTCAGGTTGATAGCCCTTGCCTACCTCTTAGTACTGAGGTTTGAACTTAGGGCCTGAGCACTGTCCTTTAGCTTTTTCATTTAAGGCTGGTGCTCTGCCACTTGAGCCACAGCTCCACTTTCAGAGTTTAGGTGCTTAATTGGATAGTTTCACAGGCTTCCCTGCCTGGGCTGGCTTGGAACTGTGATCTTTAGATCTCAGCCTCCTAAGTAGCTAGGATTACAGGTATGAACCACAGGAGCTGGGCTTTCTCCTTTCTTTCAGACTCTTGGTGGGAGCCCTATGGATCACTCTGTTCCTAAGGCTACCTGTAACATTTGTGTGTGTGTGTGTGTGTGCGTGCGTGCGTGCATGCACTCATGCATGCATGTGCTGGTACTGGGACTTGAACTCAGAATCTGGGTGCTATCCCTCAGTTTTGTTTTTTATTTTTGTTCTTTGTTTTGCTCAAGGCTAGGACTCTACCATTTTTAGCTAAAGCTCTACTTCTGGCCATTTGTTGGTTTGTTGGAGAGAAGAGTCTCACAGACTTCCCTGCCTGGGCTACTTTTGAACTGCGATCCACAGATCTCAGCATCCTGAGTAGCTAGGATAATAGGTGAGAGCCACTGTGCTCAGCTCACCTATAACATTTTAAACTCCTGTAGCAAGATTTCCATGTACATACATAGAAATAGTCACATCTCTCTTCTTGTTTCTCTTTCTTGAGGGGAAGCACTGAGGTGGTTAATAAATCTCAGCTCCTAAATTCTCCGGGATTGAAATTGCCACCCTGTGGGGATCTTTTCCAAGAGCTAACTTCCTCCTCCTGCTTCCTTAACTCCATCAGCCTGTGATAAGGCCTCCTTCCTTGTCACATGCTGCAGATTTGGACTATGCATCCGCTCCTCCTTGCCTAACCAGAGCCTATTACCAGTATACATTTTTTTTCCTTTTGCCAGTTGGAAGCTCTTGAAGCAGTCTTTGCACAAACGCACTACCCGGATGTCTTCACGCGGGAAGAGCTGGCCATGAAGATCAACCTCACAGAAGCTCGAGTGCAGGTAAACCTTGTGAATTATTTAGCTCTCTAATATTAAAACTGGCAAACTTTTTTTTTGATATCACGACTGCAGATTGCACATTTGGCCAAAGAAAGCAAATGAAGACTATCTGTCATTTTCATGATACACTTTAATAACATCAACATAATGTGGAATATTAGATTAGGTTGATTAATCGGTCATTCATAATTAACTAGTGATAATGTTCTACACTAATTTGTCCGCGTCTCTAAGGTACTAAATTACATCAATGCACATCCATTTCCTTGCTTTGGAAAAAAAAAAAAAAGCTGAGATGCTGCTCTCAAAGCTCTTCTGACCGCTCTGGGGTGAGGCCGGTCAATTGCAGAGAACCACGTTTTCAGATGGGAAGTCTGATTTGCTTTCCAGAAATTGCCTCATGCCCAACTTTTCTTCTGTACACAGACTCTTTCAGTGGAAGTGGATCCACAGAACAGGTGCAATTTAAAAATCTTTAAGCAGCAGCAGCAAAAGGGTTGGACAGAGATGGGAACAAGCTATGTGATGGTTGGTCTCTGAGCAGGATTTTTTTTTAAACTACACGGTGATTATATTTTAAGTGCACAAACCCACAGAGCCCAGCAGATGTGCCCAAGCAGGAGAGAAACACATTCACAGTTTTGCCTCTCCAGGCGAGCTATTCTTTAGCACAATTATATATTCATTTTATTTATGAGTTTCCCTCCATGCTGTTTCTGTTCTTCTTCTTCTTCTTTTTTTTAATGTAGGAGCTTGGGGTTAAGACTATGCAAAGATCTAATTGTAGGAAATATAATAGTTTGCTTTCAGTCCCCCTGGGTCGTGTTAGTATATCTTAAAAACCAATGGCTGAAGAGAGATAATGGAATTCTGAGCAGTAAATTGGGGGTTGTAAACAAATTATTTCCCCTATAATCAGATTATGTGATCCTGATGATTAAATCTGAACATGAATCATTGGTCATATGCAGGCAAATTAAACTGATTATTATTTGGAAATGAAAATCTTCTTTGGCCCAGAGACTGTCTATCGTTTCTTTCTTTCTTTTTCATTCTTTTTTTTTTTTTAATGCCAGCTTGCCAATAGCTGCCTAAAGACTGAACTGCAAATTGAGATAAATGACACAATTATTAAGCATTCAGAAGTAGAGGATCATAACTTCTTTCTGAAAGGTGCAAGGGTAAGATAGGGGTGGTAGCAATTAAGGCTGAGAACTGTTGTCCGGGCGGTTGTTAGCTATTATGCAGGCAGACAATGGCCTTGGAGCGTTTGTTTAGTGAGCTTCCGTGTGGGGACGTGGGCTTTGGTGTGGGGGAATGGAGATGTGTTTACATTTATACCCCTTGCTCATTCAAATATGATTAATGTTCTCTAAAGCAGGGTCTTAATCGAAGCTGATGTTGTCAAACAATAACTAAATAGGGAAATAAACGACTCCATCATGCTCTTTCCTCAGAAGCAGAACTGTCAGTGCAAAGTCATTAAAATATGATAATGAAAAATAGCTCAATTAAATGTTGTTATAGCTGTGACCTTCATTCAATTAAGACGCGAGAAAGTGTCTGCATTTTGCTTTGCATTTAACTGCCCTAAATTTAGAATATAGATAAAATCATTACTCAATGGTTGCTGATATGTGCAATTAAAAGCCAACTCGATTAAAAAAGAAAGAAAGAAAGAAACCCAGTTAAAGGAGAATGAAAATTAAGAGATAGAGTGGGCTGTCAAGGAGGCTCAGCCTAAGGACCCAAGCTCTGTCCTAGTCAGTGTGTCTGCAGCCAGTGGAGGCCCAGGGCTTCATCCCTGGGGAGCCTAGGGGAGCCCTGGCCAAGCCTGGCTTGTTTATTTTTTTGGCCAGGAATTATCTCCAAGGAGAGAAGATGCAGGAGGAAAGGAGGGGAGAGGACAGGAGAGGACAGGACAGGACAGGAGAAAAGAGGACAGGAGAGGTTTTGCTGGGCAGAGTAGAGTAGCAACTCACAGAGCTCTGGTGACACCACCTTGAACTGGTGGCCTAGCTTCCAGGGGCTGTACTTTTGCAAATGCAGTTTGAAAACCATGGGTACCAGCATCTACGATGGTGCTCAGGTCAAGGTCAGTCATCAAGCTCTCACTGAGTTAAGGGTGATAGTGCTAGGAGGCTAGCCAGCATTCTCTGGGTGACCATGGCTCTGTGCCAGGCAGACATTGTGTTGGGGATGCTGTAGATGGTAGGATTTTTAAGCCAAGTCACTGGGCTGGAGATTGTAAACTGTCTCTGACCACCTGGCTGATCCTGGGGAGTTGCTGTGTTTAATTTCCTTGTCTGTAAATGGGGATGGGTAGAACTGCTCACACATAGAGTTGGGGTGGACTTGAAACCAGGTTCACTGGGTGCCATAATTCCAAGTCACGGCTGATTGGATTCAGGGTTTCTCCTGGTTACTCTGGGCTGCTAATCATGAACTTGCGACATGTACTTCAATGAGTCAAGATTAGCCCAGGGATGTGAGCCTGCTGAAAGAGGACTGTGTCTCTGATGGGAAGCCTGAGGGTTGTTTTCTTTTTCTTTTCTTCCTTTCTTCCCTTCTTCCCTCCTTCCTTCCTTCCCTCCTTCCTTCCTTCCTTCCTTCCTTCCTTCCTTCCTTCCTTCCTTCCTTCCTTCCTTCCTTCCTTCCCTCCCTCCCTCCTTCCCTCCCTCCCTCCTTTCCTTCTTTCCTTCCTTCCTTCCTTCCTTCTTTCTTTTTTTTTCTTTTTTTTGTAGGGCTTGAACTTGGGGCCTAGGCACTGTCCCTCAGCCTTTTTACTCAAGGCTAGTGTTCTCCCACTTTGAGCCATAGCTCCACTTCTGCTTTTCTGGTGGCTAATTGGATATAAGAGTCTCATAAACTTTCCTGCTCGGGCTGACTGTGAATTGTGGTCCTCAGATCTCAGCCTCCTGAGTAGCTAGGATTACAGGTGTGAGCCACCAGCACCCAGCTGAGGGAAGTGTTTCCTCCTCCTCCTCTTCTTTTTCTCCTCCTCCTCTTCCTCCTCCTCCTCCTCCTCTTCCTCCTCCTCTTCCTCCTCCTCCTCCTCCTCCTCCTCCTCCTCCTCCTCCTCCTCCTTCTTTTCTTCTCCTTCTCCTTCTTCAGTCCTGGGGCTTGAACTCAGGGCCTGGGCACTGTCCCTGAGCTTCTTTTGTTCAAGGCTAGCACTCTATCACTTGAGCTACAGTGCCACTTCTGGCTTTTTCTATTTATGTATTACTGAGGAATTGAGTCCAATAGGCAGGGCAAGTACTCTACCACTAAGCCACATTCCCAGTCCAAGGGAGGTGTTTTCTAAGTTGTGTTGACAATGATCTCTGGTAGTAAAAACATTTCACACCCAATAAATACATTCATGTGTAATTCTTGTACTGAGATCTTTCACAGGCAGCAGTTTTACCCTTCCTGTGAGCAATGCATACTGTCAGTTCTTTAGCATTCATTGAGAGAGGCCTATCATAAATGTAGATCAGTCTGATCTGTCTGAAAGTTTGAAACTCAGATTCTGAGAGAACACAGTATGAGGTCAGCCATGCGCACCAGCCGAACATCCAGGATGCTATGTCCTGGCTTCCTCCTCTTGTTTAATTTCTGCCTCCTTTGGGTGCATGTTTCCCATTGGTGCTCAGGTTTGGTTCCAGAATCGAAGAGCCAAGTGGAGAAAAACAGAGAGAGGGGCCTCTGATCAGGAGCCAGGAGCAAAAGAGCCTATGGCAGAGGTGACACCACCTCCAGTGAGGAACATCAACTCTCCACCTCCCGGGGATCAGGCCCGGGGCAAGAAGGAGGTGCTGGAGGCCCAGCAGAGGTGAGGGCTAGCTGGGCTTCTGGCCTGGTGTGTGTGTGTGTGGAAGGGTGGTGTGGGGGTCTTGGGCAGCTCAATAGACATAAAAAGAACTCAACAGAATTTTCTTTCTTTGCCAGCCTGGGGCGAACAGTGGGTCCTGCAGGTCCTTTCTTTCCCTCCTGTTTGCCAGGGACACTCCTAAACACAGCTACATATGCCCAGGCCTTGTCCCATGTGGCCTCTCTGAAAGGTAAGCTTCCCTTGGATGAGCGGTGTGGCTTGTGGGGAGGGTGGAGATGGCTTGAACGATGTCTTGATGGTCCATTCTTGGGCTGTCCTCTGCTCATTTTCCCTGGGGCTGGCTCAACAGTCTCCTCCTGTCAGTTCCTGCCAGGGAACTGGACTTGTCCTGTTTGATTTCCATCTGACTTGAGAATGTGAATGAGTGAGTGCCTCATTAAGTGTCATCCCTCTCAGCCCAGGACTTGTCCCAGAGCTGGTTGTTTCAAATGTTCACACTCCATCATTCTTGCCTCTCCATCACAGTTAAGGTGTTGACTGCCGCTTGCAGGGAGGCCTGGAGGGGTGCTGGGGTGTGTGTGTGTATGTGTGTGTGTGTGTGTGTGTGTGTGTGTGAGAGAGAGAGAGAGAGAGAGAGAGAGAGACAGAGAGACAGAGAGACAGAGAGACAGAGAGACAGAGAGAGATCTGGCTTCTCAGGGCTTGTCTCTATGTGAAGCTTGACTTTCCCAGGAACTCCTGAAGGCAGAGGTCTGCACTGTTAGGATTCATGGCTTTCTAAGATTTGTTTTCTTCCAGTGGCTTTCTTACAGGAAGAATGAAAATGGCTAGGGATGTTTTGTCAGAGGCAGAGAAAGTCACTCTAAGGCTGTCTTAAGATTTTTTTTTGTCGGTTGTGGGGCCTGAACTCTGGGCCTGTGTGCTGTCCCTCAGCTCTTCAGTTCAAGGCTAGTGCTCTACCACTTGAGCCACAGTGCCACGTCTGTCTTTTTCTGCTGATGTGGTGCTGAGGAATCGAACCCAGGGCCTCATGGATGCAAGGCAAGCACTCTACCACTGAGCTACCTTCCCAGCCCTGTCTTAAGATTTTTGAGGGTACTATCCTTGGATGTAAGGGCCATTCTAGTATCTCTCAATGCCTTGCTATGTACCTGTGGGTCCAGTAATTGGGCTGTGCCAGCGAGGAACAGGGCTGGGCTCCAGCCAGGTTAGAGAGAGTGAGAGGCAGTGCTTTCCTGTTGTCTGTGGCAGGAGGTCTGGGAGGTAACAAGGTGTGGCTGTAGGCTTTTCCCAAGACATAGGCAGTGGGAGAGGCTGCCCTGTGTGTCTTTTGCCTGTCATGGGCTAGTACCTGGGGCCTCCTTGTCCTGTAGCAGTCCTTTCAATATGGGTGGGTTAGAAACATACACACACCGCAGAGTATCCCAATATGCAATGCAAATGTGGATGGAGGCAGAAGGGAGAGTTCTTGTGTCTCTCTGAGAAGTCTGCTGAAGAAGGTGGAGAGGGCCTTCCAAGTGTAGAGAGCGCATGCATACACTTGTCTGGAAGATGGAGAATGTGTTGGGTGCCCACCAAGAGAGCCCAGGAATCCATCAAGGCCCTAATGGCCAGTGCTGGGTCTGGGTGTCTCACTGTAAGAGGTGTACCTCCCAGGCCTGGATCTAGGCAACTTGTACATCCCTTTGCTTAGCTGGCTGTGCTGGGTGGGTTGGCTGCTGCTGACACCATGTAGAACACCAGCATCTTGACATAAGAAATGCTCAATGTGTAGTTTTCAAATAAAAAACCCTGAAATTGCCAGATACTGGTGGCATACACGTGTAATCTTAGCTACTCGGGAGGCTGAGATCTAAGGATTTTGGTTTGAAACCAGCTTTGGCAGAAAAGACCGTGAGACTTATCTTCAATTAACCAGCAAAAAGCCAGAAGTGGAGTGCACCAACCAGCCTTGAGTGAGAAAGCCAAGGGGGAGAGTATAGGCTTTGAGTTCCACTACTAGCATATACATACATATATATATATAGTATATATGTCAATGTATATATATGTATATATATATATATATGTATATATATATATATATATATTCCCACGTTTGACCTCATGTGATAGGATGCAGTCAAACTGTCGATGCACTGTCTGGGGCTGTGGCTCTAGTGCTAGAATGGAGCCCAGCAAGTGCAAGGCCCTGAGTTCAAGCCCCAATACTGTCTGTCTCCCCCAAATTAGATACACTAAAACTACTGTATAAAATCAACTCCAGGCTATATGTATATGGAACCTAAATGAATTTTGTAGTTAGCCTTGACTTTTATTCCTATTGTATCTTATTACATATAAGCAAATACTCCAAAGTCTGAGAAAATCTGAAACATTTCTGTTCTTGGTCATTTCAAATAAGTGATATATTTAAATAAGAGATAAACAACATATACAATTGGAATTGGTAGCTAATGAGAAAAGGGCCCCAGAAAGGAGATTACCAATCATATCTAAGCATCATCCAAAGATCTGGTCTTGACAAAGAAACAGTCTCATATCCATCCATCCATCCATCCATTTGTCTGTCTGTCCATCTGTCTGTCCAATGCTGCCAGCAGCTGACCTAAGCGTAGCTATTCCTTTAATAAGTATGTTCTGCTTGGCTCCCTCTAGCTTCATAAATAGTAAGAGGGGATCCACACATCTTCCCCTCTCTGGTCCTTGGGTCATCTCTTGTAAGCCAGATGAGGCCCTGTGGGCCCTTGCAGTGGCCGAAGGCGAGAGGTGAGAAGGTTCAGGGCAGGGAGGGCTGGAGAAGTCAAGGACAGGAAGTGAGAGGGAGACAAAACTGGGACTTAAACCTCTCATATCTGTAGGAAATCATAACCTTGGCAGAATAGAGGCCAGATCTGGTGGGGGAACCCTCAGTATAGGACTCTGTGCAACTCTCCTTTTTCTTTCTTCTGTTCTTACCTCTGCTCCCTTTGGCTGGGCTGCTCGCCTCATTGGAAATGGATTTTCCTTTGATTGTTTTGCTGCAGGGCCCAGGGCCACCTGTTAGTGTCCCCATTAGACACCCTTCCTGAGTGTCATCAGGTTGGGTTGGAGAAAAGTTTGGGGTGGTCAGGCCTACTGAGGCTGGCAACATGCTGGAATCTTTGCAGAGCCAGGCAAACCATAAGAAAAATGAATGTATACATTTCCTTTCCCTCTACAAATACTTTTTCATTTTCATTTTCTTTCTTTTTTAATTTTGTGCTTTTTTGGGAGGGCTTGAACTTAGGACCCCTTAACTTTTTTTGCTCAAAGTGGACCTCTTCCTCTTGAGCCACAGTTCTCCTTTGGATTTTTGGTGATTAATTTGATAAGAGTCACAAGGAATATCAGCCCATGCTTGGGATGGCTTTGAACTCTTGCTTGATGTTTTGGAAGCCCGGGGCGCTTGAGCTCTATTTGTTCATGGTATTTGAGGGAAGTGTAGGTGAAAGGCATATTTCTTTATTATCAGAAATAGTAATGCATGGAGCAATGTACAAGGTCCCTCAGGCAGGTTTGGACTTGGCAGTAATAGAGATGGGGATTTTGGAATTTTTAGAAGCTGGAAATCTGCATTTTTATTTGAAATATTCCTGTCTTGGGGCTCCAATAACAAAATGCAAAAGACTGGGCCATGAATATAAGCATACATCTGTTTCCCATAGCTCTGAAGCCAGAAAGTCCTGGCTGAGCTCTGAAGCTCAGCTTCTGCTTAGCCTGTGGAGTCCTCCCGTGTCTCACACAGGGGAGCAAGCAAGTGCTCTGGTGGCAGGTTGCCTCTAAAAGGGCAAATCCCATTGGGAGGGCTCACCCTTCAGGTTCCAGATCTTTCCAAAATTCCACCTAACACCATGCCCTTGGGAGTTAGAATTTCAACTTAGAATTTGGGGTACCCAATCAGTCGGTCCATAAGAATCTCATCTTTTAGGGCTGGGAAGGTGGCTCAGTGGTAGAGCGGTTGCCTTGCATGCATGAGGCCCTGGGTTCGATTCCTCAGCACCACATAAGCAAAAAGAAAAATGCCAGAAGTGGTGCTGTGGCTCAAGTGGTAGAGTGCTAGCCTTGAGCTGAAGAGCTGAGGGACAGCGCCCAGGCCCAGAGTTCAGGCCCCACGACTGAACCCCCCCCCCCCAAAAAAAAAAAAAAAGAATCTCATCTTTTAAATGATAAGCTGTGTACCGGTTGCTCAGGAGGCTGAGATCTGAGGATCAAGATTTGAAGCCAGCCTGTGAAAGAAAGTCCATGAGACCCTTATCTCCACTAAAACCTACCCCCAAAAGCTGGAAGTGGAACTGTGGCTCAAGTGGTAGAGCACCAGCCTTGAGCAAAAGAAGTTCAGAGACAATGGCCAGGTCCTAAGTTCAAGCCCCAGACGAGCATCAAAAAAAGAAAAAAAAAAAAGAAAAAAGGTGCCTGCAAATCTTTTGGGTCAGATATAATAACACCAACCAGTGGCCTACCTTTGGGGATTCGCTCTGGGCTGGGTGGAGCTGTTCTTCAACTCTCTCATTTTGTGTTCTGAGTTCTTGCACACAGGCTTTCTCAGACCCTGGGCAAAGTTCCTCTTCAAGCTCTGTTCTTCTGGCCCTGCCCCCAGCCTCTGTCCCTCTGTGGTCTCCTCCCCTAGTCTGGCTGACTGCCTCTGTAGCCCCGCCTCCAGGCACCTTGTCTCCCTCCGTGGCCCTGCCCCTATCCTCACTCTCTCCCTCTGTGGTTCCCTCTCATCCACCCCGCTGAACACTTGGCGTTTTCCACCTCTCCAGCAAGCTAAGCCATGTTGGAAATGCAGGGAAATGAGCAATCCATCAGGAGTGCTCCTGAGTTACTTCCTGTCAAGGTGACCCAGCATCCTGTGAGTTAGGGGCAGCACTTGAAACCCTTGTCTAGATTTTTTCACTGGTGAGAAGCTGAGTCTTGGGGCAGGAACATGAGGAGATGAGACCTTACTGCCAAGGCAGATTGCTGTTCTCAGCATCCTAGGGAGCTCTTTATAGAAGACTTTACTCATTGAGCCCTTCCTCTGAGTGAGTACCTACCTGCTGGAAAGAGAAACACAATGGGACCTTGACATCTACCCTGCTTCTCTGAGTCTCTATTGGGGAGGGGGTCTGGACTTAGTTAGGCAGGAGCTTTAGAGACCGGGACTCATGTTGAGGGAACTCTGTGGCCCCTCCCAGCTCAGAGACCCCCAACCCTCCTCTCCAGAAT